TAATACTTAGTGCTTTGATAATCTTTTATCAAGGCTTCTTGAACTTATACACCTTTGCCTTAGCTAGTTCATATATGTGTCTTAACAATTAAGACTAATTGCCAAACCTCACAATTCAAATTATGGAAAGGGATACCGTAACCATGATCGAATTCGAGAATGCAATTTTACAATCACTATCTTTTTAAAATCTTTCTTAGTGAAAGCATTTCCTCACAATCATTTTCATGAAGGAGGAAATCTTATGACACTTAGATTTAAATGGTGTATTTGTTCCTATCCATGTGAATTTGTTAAAACCAAAGTTTACAAAAAATTCAAACTCATATGGACTGAACTTTCTTAATCTTGATTTCTTGCCTTATGGTAGCATAGCTGCCCACCACGTCTTCCAATTAGTTAAGCATCTTACCTTTTTTCTATCAATGTACTTTTCATTGATCAAGGTGCTTTACCTTTTATGCGTTCAAAATGAGAACTCATAGAACTCACATGCATAATTAACTCAATTTGAATGGCATAGAAACAAAATAACGTCAACACGATAGGTTGTAAACCTCAACTCGTGTGCTAGTGATGATCGATAAGGTTTATTTGATTTGTTCTTGAAACTTTTCGAGACCATTAAGACTCCAACTGACTCCTTGACATATAAGATTCTCATTTCTTGACAAACAAATTTTCAAGAGTTAGTGTAGCTTGTATCAAAACACTTCATAAATTGGTCCTAGTCGGTCTTTGTCTTATCCAAGACATCACAACTTTCCACATTTGATGAATGTTATAAACCTTTAATACTTTTTACTCATTGTCACAATCTTAACTTTAAGACTTGTTATTGGAACGAAGTATGATAGACTTCTTGATTTAACCATTTCTTGAATCCTTGATTCCTCTTCTTAAACATACAATTGTACTAAGACTTACTTAGAGGATCAATTGAGATATGGTTCTTAATCATTAAAACCCATTATAAAGCATAAAAGCTACTCTCCCTTCTTCTTAGAATGGAGAAACTTTTATCTTTCTGCCTACTTGATTCTTTTTATTCGTTCTTCTATTGATTTAAACCCTTTAATCAATTCAGAATTACACTTAATCTTGTAAGTGTGATCATATTTACTAAGCCTTTAGTAAATCATGACGAATATCTTTGTTACTCTTATGGTGAACTTGATCAACACACAACTTTGTGTACTCGATCTCCTAGTCCTTCACTTGACACTTTGTCAATGAATTAGTCTAATTTCCAAATATGAAATTTCTCGTTCGTCGTGCAACCAAGATGCATGATTCCAAGTTTCAGTCCAATTGAAATTTGGGCGATGAGAAACTCTCCCTATTTGGTAAATTCTCGACATTTCCATAAATAACATAACTAAGAATCATATCCATTCGTTGTAGAAATATACAAACATCAATCTTCATAACGATTTCATTGAAAGGTAGTAAACAAATAAATAAATAAGTCAAACAAAATTTATTTTATTTATAAAAGCAGCGGAAAAATATTTGTCCTTACAATGCAAAATCTATTGAAAACTATGTAAAAGGAAAATTTCTAACAACTCTATCATAACTATCTAAGCTCAAAATCCAATCTTCAAGTCCATGTGATCGAGATCCATCTCTTGTGATTAGATTCATCTTGCTCTCTTATCAAGCTTCCTTTCTTTTCACCGATCCTGCAAAACATTCAAATGCAATCTTATCACATCATGTATTAAGAATCAATGAATAGGAACTTAACGGAGTTAGATAGTGGATTTTACCTGAAGCGTAGTCATACTTTTCACTCTCCCATCTCTTAGATCTCTTAGGTAAATAGGGAAACTTCGTCTCCAATGCCCCTTCTCTTGCAATAAAAGCAAATTGACTCTTTGGAACAACACATGGAACTACTTCAGACATCGCCTTTCTCTTATGATCAAACTTTTCGATCACTGCATGTCTTTCATTGCCATTGTCTATATCCATAGAGGTCTTGAAGGCAGATTCACCAATCAACTTTGCTTTTCTATTGCACCAAACCATTGTTGATTCAACAGCAATAAGCATATAGGTGAGATCAATAAGGGTCACGTCGTGGTTCATCATATAGTACTCTCTTACGAACTCACTATACGAGTTAGGAAGTGACTGAAGAACCCAATCAACAGCCATCTCTTCACCGACAACGGATCCCATCATTCTTAACCTATCAATGTGTGACTTCATCCCTAAGACGTGTGCACACACCGACTTTCCTTCTTTATGTTTACTTGCCAAAAGGGCTTGAGTGATATTGAACCTTTCAATTTTACAATCTTGTGGGTTAGGGAGAATAAATGGAGGAGGAGGAGGAAGTGAAGCATGATTTCTTGTTCCTCGATCGAATCGTGGAATATCATCTTCATGTGGAATGCTTGTTCCACGGAATTTGGGAAGACCATAGTTGTCGAACTTTGACATCTACAAAACGGGAGAAAGCAAATTCAAGTTAGTTGATCGATTGAGTCCTTAGTAAATCACCCAAAAGAGATACCAAGGCTAGGACCCAACACAATACCCTACAACCTAGAAAACGGATGTCGTAATCTAGTTGCAGAATATTTGAAGGTAAGTGAATGACGATTCACTAATTTCTACCATGAAAAAAGAAAAAGAAATTTAAGTTTTCAATCTATGAAAACTCCTAGATCCTTTGAGATTCATTGAACATTTCAATGGCATGTTTAAATCTCGATATGCCCCTCTCGTTTGTGACTGGGATGCCAAGGATCACAAAGCGGGTGTGAATAACCATGCAAAGTTACATGGTGCCCTCACATGTTACAGTCAGCTATTCGATGTGCCGGTAAACCACACACGCTCCACCGAACTATGACAAACATTGATTCACCCTTTTCTACCTTTGCTTAGAACCATTTAGTGTGCTGGTAAACCACACACGCTCCACTAACGTCTTCGCAAGGGCACAAAGTGTAATTTCATGGAATTGCATCAATTCACTTTGCCTAAGTAACTAAGATTGGGAATTTGAAAAAACATTTAGTTACTTTGTATTTCATTATACTTATAATGGAAGGTTTCGTCCTATCCTACCTGTTCGGCTAACGACCCTCCACTAGTCAAGAGTGCGGTGGGTAAGAGTGGATACCCATTCAATCGCCATATTATAGGCAATTTCCTTAAACACCCCTTATAGACCAGCTTCGTGAATGAGGCCTACTAACGGTAAGACTGACTTTTACTCATACATATATATAATCTTAGACCTTTAATGTTATATATATAGTATAGGGTGTATTTTACACTTTTAAAATACTAGGTGGTCTAATTCAACAATTATACTTTTAATTCAATTAAATTGTAAACCTAAACTTTTATGGATTTATTAAACCTCCTTTAATTATACACCTTAATTAATTAATAAAACCAAAAGGGTGTAAATTAAACTTTTCAAAACATTACTAGGGTTTTAGAATTTAACATTCCTAATTAAACTCTTAATCAACTTTTAAATTCCAAAACCTGAGGGCAAGTTTTGAAACATTTCAAAACATTAGGGTTAGAATTTAAATATACATCAAAATTAAACTTTTTAATCAAAATTTAAATTCCAAAACTTGAGGGCAAGTTTTGAAACCTTTTTCAAAACATTAGGGTTTTAACTATTTAAATTTCAAAACTTCAAAACTTTTGGGTTCAAATTTAAACTATAAAACTTAAAGGGGAAAATATGATACTTTTCATAACAACAAGGATCAAATAACAAATAATTTTAAATTAACATTTAATCACATAATTATCGATATTTGATTTGTTTAATGATTTCTAGCAAAACAATTTATCAATTTACTCAAAATAATTAATCAATTATCTTATAAGGAAACAATTATTTTATTAATTGATAATTATCTTTAATTAGATCAAGAATATAGTCATATATATCATAAAATCATTTATATTGATGTAATATGATAAGGTAACTATCCTAATGCAAAAACAGCAAGAAATCCCGGTTTTCCCTCTCACTGACCAGCCGACTCGTCGAATCAGACATGGACTCGTCGAGTTTAGCATGAACTCGGCGAGTTCCTCTAAAAAAACTCGACGAGTTTACACCCCAGAAGCACAAAATTCGAATTTTTTCAACATACAAAGCATCAATACAATAGAAACCAATCTAGTCTCTGATACCACTGATGGGTTTTGGTCATAAGACATCCTATGTGCTCATACAAACCCTAATGCTTGGATATAGGTTTCTCTATTGTACATGCTTTGAATCCAAGACTATAAACCCTAATTCTAGCATATGGAAATCAATATTAACATATAATTAGGTTTAAGATATTACCTTGATTGTTATGTAGTAATAACAATCCCAATTCCTCCTTGAATTGACTTTGGAATGCTTAGAATCACAAGTGTCACTTCTCTAATGGTTCACAAACACCATAAGCAAGAGGATGAAGAGGAGAGAGGTTGGAGGCTGCCAAAACTCGTGTGAAACCCTAGCAATAAGCTTAGCCACGTTTTTGAGCCTTAAGGGGTCTTTATATAGTTGGTCTATTAGGGTTATATAACAAGGAAACCCTAATTTGGATGCTTAAGCCCTAAGCAACCCATAGACTCCTTTTAATCAAGCCCTTGGACGATTTCCTTATGGGCTTCGCCATAGAATTCGTCCAACCCTTGATACAAGGCAATCCATGGCCCAAATTGCAATTATCTTATAATTACAATTCCAGTCCCTTAAGTTTAATTAATCTCTTTTAGTCACAAAACTAATTACCAATTAATTATTGACTAATATTAATTAAACAATATGATTTCTCCTTTAATATATTATTCCCATAATATATTAATAAATCATATTTAGTCCTTTCTCTCCATAATTCATCCTATCAAGTTGCTTTGGTGAAGGCAACCCAAAAGGACCATGCACCATCGGGTCAAGTACATACCAAAATAGTTATGGACTTAGTCACTAATCCAACAAGTTGAGGATTCATCTACTCAAACAATTTAACACATTTTGCAACAGCGTCACAAATAATGTCAATCTTCTGATTTGTTGACGCGTAATCTTGTTGAACAGCCTGAACCTCCTTCGTCATATCTTCACGAAGTTCTTTGATTTGCAAATTAACATATTCTCGTACCTTCTTAACTTCTTGTACGAATAGTACATGACGCTCCTTCGTAACAAGCTTTAGATCCTTTGAATCTTTCACGAAATCAGATCTCAAAGAATTGAATCGATTCTCTGTAGAAATATCATTCTGATTAACCTTCGCAAGGACTCGACTCTCCGAATCCTTAATCAACCCTGATGCCTTCGAGATCACCCTTCCTTCCATCACCTTCATTAAAGAATCAACTTCCATGATTGTAATTCCACCACTGCCCACATCTGCTTGGGATTGCAAGATAGAATTCAATTTTGAATTCAAAATCTTAAACTGCTTCATAGTCATCAGCATGTGGTCAGGAAAATCTTCTTCAGTTTGATCAAAATGAAGAGCTTCGAATGTTCCTCCAAAGCCTTCGTTATCGGTTTCAGCATCAGCAGCCATGGTTTCATCAGTAGGTGAGGATTGATGGGGTGGATCAGTTGATTGAGTTGAGAATATGGTGGTGAATGGTTGATCCATAATAAGTTGAAATGTAGGAGAAGCAGTTGTGGATGTAACCTGGGGTAGTGAATTTTTTTCAAGAGGCTTCGAAACAACAGGTGAACTGATCTTCACTTCTTCTTGAAGTGTAATCTCTGGTGTCTCAGGAACCTGCTCAACTTCTTCAAGTCTTTGACTCTTCTTCAAAAATTTTGCTAAATCTTCAGCCCTTCGTTTTTTAGATAATGGAGACACCGGAGCTGGAATTTCCCGAACTGTGACCCCTTGATGGGATACTTGCGTTTTCTTCACCATCTGAGACTTTCGTTTTATTTTGATTCGTCGAGAAACACCTGTCTTCGAAGGAATCATTTCTGTCGATGGAGATGCTTCGATTCTTGGTGTATCAACCACTGAGGTTACAATTGGAGATACCTCTTCGACTACCGGAATTTTCTTCTTCTTTTCTACCTTCGCCACTTTTTCCAAAGACCCACCAGCAGTCTTCTTCGATTTCTTAGACTTTTTCCTCTCTTCGTCTTCATGTAACAGCCCAGTAACAACTATTGTGTCAATGGATTGCAAATATGACACCAAAACATTATTCATTGGATCCACCTTTTTTAGTATTGCATCCGGAATGCGAGCTATTGATGTAAATATAGCCGGATCATCATCTACTTCCTTCGGACTACCATACATGTGAAACACCGCCTTTTCTTCGAACTTCGGAACTTCGATCTTCTCCTTGCGGTAAACATACTGTATGATCAAAATCCAATAACGAGCACAAGAAATCCCCTACTTAGCACTCGTCTTTGAAATGCTAGTTAAGAACTCTGTCCATAATTGTTCAGAGTAATCCACTTGCAAATCATAATACAGTCCGGCAACCAATGCATAAACCTCCATCCTTCCTTTATCAAGACCCACGGTTCTTCCAGTGAGACATCGAAGGAAAATTCCAAATAAAAAATTCCATACCGTAAGTAATCCAGACTTCTTGAAGTCACTGATACGCGACAATGGAGGTTGATGGCCCATCTCATTGAACATAAACACCACTTGAGAAGAAGAAACTTCATCGTAAGGACCAGAATTTGGAATCCCCAAAATTTTGCAAAATAAACGCTTGGACACCCTAATACGCGTATCATTTACCATAGTGAATTCAACACAACCTGTCTCCTTGTTGTATGATGCAGTAGAACCTGCCTTTGATAACCAAGACATTGGAACAGCAAAAGAATCAAACATTGCTTTAGACAAAACTGAATTTTGTAAAGCGACCACTAGCATTTGGAGTTCCATCGGATATTTTGATAGATCAGATTCCACTTGGTAGTTGGAACCCTGGATTTTCAGAATCGGAATGCTAACAACTTCTTCTGTTGTTGGAGATGTTGTAGTCACCATTGTTGAAGATAAGAACAGAAAGTGTGTGAAGAAAATGATTATTTGAAGAAATGAGTTGCAGAGAGAATTTTGGTATGATAGAGAATGTTTGATCGCATAAAGTATTATGGACTCCTGAGCTCCCCTTTTATAGGTTACCCAAATGAATTTGAAATTAAAGCGGAATGCATTTAATGTTATCCGACGTGGCACCTTGAAAATCGGATCATGACGGTAAAAGATAACCACGCTTCAAAGAGTAACTGTCCCATCTCCTTGAAAACCGGATAGACTACCAACCATCTTGAGTATAAAGCCTGTCAAGTTGCCCGTTGTAGATTTTGAACCGTTAAAAGAAAAACCTTTGCATGGAAGCAGGGCTCTTTCACTTTTGGGATATAAAGCGAAGTCATTTGCTAGATTTCCGAAATCATCAGTCTGAGTTGGTTTTACTCAGAACCTCAAGGATTTCGTGTGTGCTGTGTTTCCAAAAAAAATTAGATGAGAAACAAATGAAAAAAAAAATTGAAAACTTGTGATGTCAAAAAATTTATTTTGACACAAAAACAGTTTAATCCCGGGCAAAGATTTCTTCGAAAATTATCAAGAGAGATAATTGACAGCTTGCTTGGTTTCACGTGAATTACAATCGATAACTTGTAGAGAAGTTTCGAAGGGTTTCTTTTATAAGGCAAATGGGTGGCTTCGAAAATTTTGTTACATTTCAACCTTAACATAAGGTGATAAATTGTAAACAAAATTAGTTGTATGACCAGTGTAGTCAGTGACAACTTCGTTGCAAATGATATGTAAAGTAACAAGGCTTTTCGACATATACTCATACGGAAATCATATTCAAGAAAAATATTATGCTGGATCTTATTGGGAACAAACATCGTAGGTTTCGAATGCTTGATGAAGATCACTCAAAAAGATTGAATACGATTTTGAGTATAAAATGTACTGAAACTAATGTTTCGTAAGTTCTGGAACATTGTTCCCCGTCAATTCCTTGATTTGTTGGTTTTTAGGGTTTCACTACCATCACGGACTCATGATGTTAGATCATAAACACAGAGTATTTGTATGTCTAGATTGCAATTGGTTTGATCAACAATATCTTGGACATACATCATTGTGTGTGAATGGTGTAAAGAAGTTTAGGATGAAAAAGATTGGTTTTCGAATCATATGTACCTCTGTTATAGATGGACCAAATAGACAACTCTTAACTCATTTGAGAAGAGTAAGGTAGCTCTATTGACTTATGCGAATACAAGCCTTGTTGGGAAGAAATTTTCATGAGATAATTTCATTAAGGCTTTGATTTCTCACACATAGAGTCATACGAGGCTTAAGGCAACATGCAGCAGCATGCTTCTAGAGACATCCTAACTAATCTAAAGTATATCAAAATCATACCTTCCCATAGAAGACACACACATGAATCCTTCGCATTTAAAGCTTGACAAAACTCACAATACACATGTTAAAACCGAAGAGAACAAAACATATTTTTGGTATTTTTGAAATGTTTTTCTTAAAAAAAATAACAAACCAAAACAAAATCTTTTTGGATTTTTAATTTTTCAACAAAAGAAAATATTTGTGATTTTTCAGGTTTTTCGAAAGAAAAAAAATAAACATTAAAATTCTAACCTTAGTTAAAATGTGTACGAATGCAAGAAAGTGAATTAGAAAGATCTTCAAATCATATAAACACGAAGCATTCGAACCGTTGACTTGAACAGTATTCTCTGATTATGTACTTCAACAAGGAATAAATCTTGCGAATACGAAGCATTCGAAGCGTTGACCATGAACAGTAACCTTTGTGCACTTAACTTTTTTTTGTAAGCAATTTGTCCTTTAGTTCACCAAAACATTCGAATCCATCAACCTTCACTTTTATCACATGTAAGTGAATTTCCATCAACCATACCCAATCCTTCCAATATACGAAGAAAAGATTTTTCATCCAATGCCTTTGTGAAAATATCTGCCAATTGTTCCGTTGTTTTCACAAAATGAACTTCAATATTTCCTTCTTCAACATGATCTTTGATAAAATGATATCTAAGATCAATGTGCTTAGTCTTCGTATGCTGCACAAGATTATGACAAATTATTATTGCACTTTGTGAATCACAGTATAAAGGAATATTTTTCATATTAATAGCATAATCACGTAATTGACTTTGAATCCAAATTATTTGTGATGTACACGCAGCAGCAGCAACATATTCAGCTTCAGCTGTAGATATCGAAACACATGTTTGTTTCTTCGATTGCTAACTGACCAATTTTCCATCTAGTAATTCACACCCACTAATTGTGCTTTTGCGATCAAGACTTCACCCTCCAAGATCTGCATCTGAATAAGCTTGTACAAAGAATCCTGTTTTCAAAGGATACCACAAACCAAATGAAGTAGTGCCTTTCAAATATCGAAAAATATTCTTCACCGCTGTCAAATGTGGTTCACGTGGATTGGATTGATACCTTGCACAATTACAAACAGAAAACATAATATCATGTCGACTTGCAGTTAAATACAATAATGACCCAATCATGCTTCGATACAGAGTGAGATCAACAGCAGATTTATCTAACGAAGGAGTTAGCTTTATGCCCATTGCCATTGGTACTCGTAACTTTGTGCTATTCGTCATGCCAAACTTTTCCAACAAATTCTTCGTATATTTCTCCTGATTAATGAAGATGCCTTCCCTGTTTTGACGAATATTCAAACCCAAAAAGTTATTAATTTTGCCCATCATACTCATTTTGAATTTGCTTTTCATTAGGTCTTCGAATTCTTTGGATAAAGCAGGGTCAGTAGAACAAAAAATTATATCATCAACATAAATTTGAACAAGCATCAGGTGATTCCCAATTTTTTGGGATCAACTGATCCTTGTTTAAATTTAGACTGTTTCAAAAATGATGTTAAAGTTGCATACCATGCTCTTGGTGCTTGTTTTAACCCATACACAGCTTTATCTAAAACATAAACATGATCAGGATGTTCGGTATTTATAAAACCTGGTTGTTGTTCAACATATACCGTTTCTTCGAGTTCGCCATTTAGGAATGCACATTTGACATCCATTTGATAAACATCGAAATCTTTATGAGCTGCATAAGCCAGAAAAATACGAACAGCCTCGAGTCTTGCGACAGGGGAAAATGTTTCTTCGTAATCAATTCCTTCTTGTTGAGAATATCCTTTAACAACAAGTCTAGCCTTATTTCGAATAATGTTTCCATCTATGTCAGTTTTGTTTTTATAAATCCATTTTAGTCCAACAATTGACACATCAACATGTTTCGGAATTAATCTCCAAACCTTGTTTCTTTCGAATTCAGACAATTCAGCTTGTGTAGCAACAACCCAATCAGAGTGTTCCATTGCAACCTTAACTGTCTTTGGTTCGATTTTAGAAATAAAAACGTTAAACATGTATAACTCTTGATGAATATTCAATACCTCATTTCGTGCATGAAGTTTAGCCCTTGTCATTACTCCTGCTTGTGGATCACCAAGAATTTGTTCTTTTGGATGATTTCTTGTCCATTTATCCAATGGTGGATAATTAGGATCAAAATCCAAAGGTGCATCTTCGAACATAGCATCTGTTTCTGATCCATTTGTGGAACATGCATCCTCAGCATCATCGAAATGTTCTTCTTCAAGAATGGGATCCTTCTCAAGTATTGGCTCCTCTTCGTGTATTGGCTCTGCTTCGAAAAGTGGCTCTTCTCCGATAATTGGCTCTTCTCCAATAATTGGTTCTTCTCCGATAATGTGCTCTTCTCCGATAATTGGTTCTTCTCCGATAATGTGATCTTCTCCGATAATTTGCTCCCTCTCTTCATTAACATTTGTTGACATTTTATCACTTTTGCAAGAATGCTCCCCCTCAACAAAACTGTTCGAATCCAAGTGCTCCCCCTCCACTGGACCACTAGTTAGTTCATTTGGGTCATGCTTCGAATTTTCTGATTGTTGATTATCCGATGCATTATTCTCTGCTTCAATTGCTTGATCTGAAATACCAAAAAATCGATTCATAATTATCATCATCCATTTGAATTGAATCATTATCATTCGAAGAATTTTGCAAAATAGGATGATTTGCAAATTGATGATTAGACTTTTTAATGTAATGATCATCAAATGTCAAATTAAAAGTTTCTTCCACTTTGCGAGTTCGCTTATTTAACACTCTATAAGCAACAGAATTGTGTGAATATCCCGAGAAAATCCCTTCATCAGTTTTTGTTTGAAACTTCGAAAGATTATCCTTAAGATTCATTATGAAACACCTGCATCCAAAAACATGGAAAAATTTGACATTAGGTTTTCGATTATTGATGATTTCATAAGGAGTAGCATTAAACCGTCTATGAATAAATGATTGATTCTGAGTAAAGCAAGCAGTTGAAACGGCTTCGGCCCAAAGATATTGAGGTAAATTCGAATATGCCAACATTGTTCTTGCAGCTTCACATAATGAGCGATTTCTTCTCTCAACTACACCATTTTGTTGTGGTGTATATGGAGATGAAAAATTATGTGAAATGCCTTTCTCCACCAGAAATGAATCAAGAACTCGATTTTTGAATTCAGTTCCATGATCACTTTTAATTTTTCGAACAGACTTCTTCAATGAAATTTCCATTTTCTTGATAAAATCAATCATCATTTGTGGAACTTCGGATTTTAACCTGAGAAAATAAACCCACGTAAATCTTGAAAAATCATCCACAATAACTAGAATGTACCTTTTCTTGTTAAGGGTAGCAACTGTCGAAGTACAACATAAATCAATATGCAAAAGTTCTAGGGGTTCAACTATCTTCGAATCTATTGTGATTGGATTACCTTGTTTGTGTTGTTTTCCTACTTCGCATGCTGCACACAAACTGTCATTATCATATTTAAGAATAGGGAAACCTCTTACCATATCTTGTACAACAAGTTTGTTGACGTTTCGAAAATTGAGATGTGATAACCTCCTGTGCCACAACCAGCTTGTATCTGTAGCAGCCTTCGAAAGTAAACACACAGCAGGTTTGCCAACAATTGGAACTATATCCAATGTAAACATATCACCTTTTCGTTTTGATTTGAGTAAAACTTCTTTTGTCTCAACATTCGAAATGACACTTCCTTCTTCATTAAAAAGAACTTGATTGCCAGTGCCCACAACAAGTTGTGAAACACTTATCAAATTATGTGGTAAACCTTCAACAAATGCAACTCGATTGACAGTGAAAGTACCATTCGTTATCTTTCCATAACCCTTAACTTTGCATTTGTGATTATTGCCAAACTTAACCACTCCTCCAAATCTATTAGGATTACCATGGCCATAGCTGCATATTATGTTTATGAGATATGGTAAATGGATGTCAAAACCGCTTTCGTTAATGGATATCTTGATGAAGATGTTTATCTGGAACAACTTGAAGGTTTTTTCAAGTTGGATAACCTAAAGAAGGTGTGTAAATTGAAAAAGTCCATTTATGGATTAAAACAAGCATCTAGGGCATGGTATCATCGTTTTGATGAAAAACATCAAAAAGTTGGGTTTCTCAGAAAGTCCTGATGAACCATGTGTATACATCAAAGCAAGTGGGAGCCATATTGTTTTTCTAATTCTATATGTTAATGACATATTACTAATCATGAAAAATATCCCTACATTGAAGGGGACTAAGGCCACCTTAGTAACTCCTTTCAAATGAAAGATCTAAGGGATGTCCCATACATACTCGTTATTAGGATCTATAGAGATAGATCCCAAAGACTCATTGGTTTGAGTCAAAGTACATACATTGACACAATCTTAAAATGTTTTTCAATTGATAACTTGAAACGAGGAATTGTTGACGTCCTGCCTGGTACCATTCTTTCTAAGGCTGACAACCCTAGTAGTGAAGATGAGATCAAAATAATGGAAAGCATACTATATACTTCAACAGTAGGTTCGATTATGTATTCTATGACATGTACAAGGTCGGATGTAAGTTATGCTATTAGTATAACTAGTATGTATCAATCTAACCCTAGCGAAAAGCATTTAGTGGCTATTAAAAACATACTTAAGTACTTAAGAAGAACTAGAGATATGATTCTAGTCTATGGAGGAGTTGAAGAAGAGCTTAATGTATGATGTTACACTAACGCTCATTTCAAAACTGATCGAGATAACTCGATTGATAGTGAAAGTACCATTCGTTATCTTTCCATAACCTTTAACTTTGCATTTGTGATTATTGCCAAACTTAACCACTCCTCCATTTTCTAAGCTTCGAAAATCATGCAAGTTTTCCTTCTTCCCAGTCATGTGATGTGAGCAACTACTATCGATATACCACTTGTTATCATATTGCTTGTCACAAAGTACCTGCGATTATTGAGAAAATTTAGGTACCCAAGACTTGTTGGGTCCATTCATATTAGGTTTATTTTTCAATTGCAAAGTATAACCATTAACCCAATCACAAACTTTTGTTTTGAAATTGTCAAAAAAATTTAACATTTTCATTCAAAGGGTCAGATATATGAGGTTTTATTGTTTTCAAATTTTCACTGATTATACCCTTCGCATCTTGAGTTTGTGATGTTTCACTTTTCTCTTTTGTGATCGGCTGCCAAACTTTAACTGAAATGTTGGATTCTTTGGATGAAGAACTACCATTCGTTGAAGGAGTTACATACATTTCATATGCCTCATGTATCTGTTCTTTCGAAAACTTACTTGATTGATACATTTTTCCCTTTCCTTCCAACCAATGATCAATATTTCTTTTAGTAGTTATACCTTTCGCTTTTGAGATTTTGTCAGCTTGCTTCTTCGGAAGATTATCACATTTTGTTGAACTTGGAGCATAATCCACTTTTGGTTTTGAAAGATAACACTCATGATAAGAATTATTCATTTGTGATTTTGAAATCTGTTTTTCAACCTTTTTCTGAAAAAAAAATTTCTAGGAAGTGTTGTTTTTGTTCCATTTGAAACTTTTCTTTGTTTTGAAAAATTGATTGATGTCATATTTAATGACTCAATAGTTTGCCAAAAAATTGTTTTTCTTGCCTGACGTTTTGAAATATTATTTTCCTTTGAAAATTTGTCAACTTTATCTTGATACTCTTTTGAATTCAATTTTATTGCTTTGTTGACTCCTTTAACCTTTGTTTTAACACCTTCTTGCTTCGTAAACACATTTGTAGTTGTGTTAACTATCTTCTTTTCAACTTTCGACTTTTCTACCCATATTCTTTTTCGTTTTTGATGTTGAAATATATATGAATTCTTTGTGAGATTGTTTTTAACTGTGTTTTGATTCGAAAAGAAACCTTCATTTGAAGTTTGCTTATTGTCTTCCTCAACCAACTTTTTGAATTCAAGCTTTATATTTTCAACATTTCCTGTTGTTACGAAGACTTGGTTTGGAAACACAATATCATCAGTGCATTTGAAGATTGGATAAACAACAGTATTTTGATTCAAGATAATGAGCACCTTTTTCACTAAGAATTTTCTCAAATTCTTGTGTATCCAAATAAACTTGATCAACAACCACTCGAGGAAATTTCTTTCAAACTTTGAATTGTCTTCGAATTTGTGTTTTCTTCCTCATTATCACTATCATCGGTTTGACTATCATGTATTTCCACAAACTCCATATCACAAACTTTCGAAGTTGAGGGATCATCAGTGTTAATTTTTATTAATAAATCTTCACATTTTTCTTTCCCTTTAAAATAATTTGCTACATTTATGACAGACAATTGAGAACAATCTACATCTTCTAACTCACTAATTTCACTAATATTATCAGAATTATCTTCAATATCAACAAAATTAGTTTGACAATTAGATGTAGAATTTTCAGTCTTTTTCAAAATTCGAAGTTGTTCTGATTTAGTTAAGGTCTCATTTACAATTTTTACTAAATCATTCGCATCAAGATAATCTTCGACTTTAGCAATTCCATATCTATATCTATCATTTGGAACTTTGTTAAATTCAAAAAAAAAAATTCACAATCATATGAAACACTATCTACCTTAGTTCTTTCATATGCTAAAAATGGTAGCAATTTTCTGTGTTGTTCCTTACTTATCTCACTCGAATGATGTAATTCACTTAATTTTCCATATAATCTTTTCGCAGAATTACAGAAAATATTTCTCTGTGCTAACAACAAGTTTATTTCCTTTGATAAATTCTCCCTATCCTCCATAATATTCGACACTTGCAATTCTAAATAATCAACCCTAGTGACTTTTGATTCTAACTTCTTTCTTGTCTCTAATAATTGATCATTTAACTTTTTAGCTTCCATGCTGGCAGACACGACAATTGAATCAAAGTAAGTAACAGTTTCATCAAAAGATACTAACTCAGAATGATACGCAGACACTTGAATATTAAAGGATTCAAGAAGATTACGTACCTTGGTAGTCATGGGCGACCTGTCGGTAGACTTCGATACGAAGCACTGCCCACGTACTTCGTAAGTCTCTTCTTCATCTGAATCTTTTTCAACTTTTGTATACATGGCCCCGTGTGTTGGATTCTTCATTTCTTCATCGTCTGACCCTGAGGACCATATTTGATATGTGCCATCCGATTCAGTTTCTCCATGAGCCACTAACGATAATTTTTTCGTCTTCGACTTTACTTCCTCCATTTTCTCAGTGTAATACGCTTCATCCTTTGTTTTATTTTTCTTTTCCTCCTTCTTTTTCAACAAGCAATCTACTGCCAAGTGATTTTCACCATAGCAATAATGGCAATTAATCCCTGTATCACCTTTCAACATCTTCTTCATTTGTTCCATTTCACTCTTCGAATCTGTCTTCACTTCTTTCTTCTTTTCATCCACTCTATTTTTGTTCTCATAACTACCCTTCAAATTTGATGACATGTTCTTTGGATTAAAAAGGTTTCTTAAAAAATTCTTTATTCTATTGTTTGAGTAAAATGCGACAGCCTCATCATCAGAATTCATCAGTAAACCTTCTTCTTCATCAGACTTCGATTTTTCATTCTCTCTTTCTGAAACCTTCGAAACGAGTGCCAATGGTCCACCAAGACTTGCTATCGCTTCCTCAGCTATTTCATTAACCTCATTTTCATGAGATTTCAATTGATTGTACAAGTCATTCAAAGTTGAAGTATCAAAACTCTGTTGGTTTTTCACCATCATACTCACACTCCTCCACTCTTTTCGAAGTCCCATTACAAATATCAAGTTGTACTCCATTGATGACCTTGTAATACCATAACAATTACAACGATAGATTAACTCGTTGAACCGATCATAGTATCCTTCAATGGATTCAGATTCTTTCTGTTTGAAATCTTTGAGTTCCACCAGGCATTGTTTCACAGATGTGATCTTCGTCTTTTCACTTCCTTGGAATTTGTCTTTGAGATTGTTCCACATTTCTTTAGTTGTTGTGCATGTTCTGACATAATTGTACACAACAGGAGGTAAGGCACCTCTTAATTCCCGCATGCATTTCTTCTCCAGTTGTTTTAAATGATTGGATTGATTGTCAACTTCCGAACTGCTTGAAGACACACCGATTGGCTGAACTGTTGTAGGTTGATTGATTTCTCCTGAAATGCACTTCCATAATTCTTCATCCAATCCGTTTAAGTAATCTTGCATACGATTTGCCCACTAATCGTAATATTTTGGAATAAGCATCGGAATTTTTGTGGATGAACCAAGCATATGAGAAAATGATGTCATGGAATTCAGATTGAATGACGCCATTGTTGTACGGACAAAAACTTCAAGATGATATGTAAACTTTAAGAATTTTGAAATCAAATTGTATATTTCAAATCAGAATCACACAATGAACACTCGATTCACTAATATATTCGCAGAATCAAATCCTATATCTAGAACAAGAATAATTTTCACACACAAAAAGAACGGAAACTTTTTGAATCAAACAGAAGATTCAAAAATCATTTGAACGTATGAGAATCAGATCACAGAAAGGATTCCTACTCTGATACCAATTGATGAGATTTGTAATCGAGTTTGAATCAATTCAAGTATAAAATCAGAAAGAGTTATAACGATGAATACGAGAGTAAATAGAATATTTGTTCAGCTCATATTATGCTTTTGAGTTTATAGAATACAATGACTAAACTGTAAAAACTGAGTGAAAGAAGTCTCTCAAACACTTAGTTCAGACCCCTATCTATAAGAGAACAAAAGCATAACAATATTGTCACACCCCAAAACCGGAACGGTGGAAACGTTCTGGGGTGGATGACGTCATGTCAAGTATCACAACACATGCATTATAGTAATCAAAGTACAACAAAACATTGCATTAATAGTAATAGTTTTACATGGTTACATTACAAGTATTCAAAGTATGCAAGTAAATATAATAAATACAGCAAGGTACTAAGCCATCTTTATCAACAGCTCCGAGGGTGTACCAGTCTAATTGCTGACCTGAGAATACAAGTTATTTGAAAAGCGAGTATCAGCATTTTTACAAATGTTGGTGAGTTCATAAGCATTTAGTGACATTTCATTCAAATAACTTAAGAAAGTAATAGTTTAAGAGATTTCAGTGTATTAGAGTCCTTTCCAGAAAATCCTATATTTTCTTTAATAAAAGCAGCCTTCTACCAAGACTGGTCAGTTTAATATGGTAAAAGAAGTTTCCCTTAATTGCTATTATTATCAAAATACTGAATTTGATTATTAAAGAAAGCAAGAGGCATCAGGGAATAACATATGCCTCAGCAGTGAGGACTGCTGGCTAAGGCAAAAGAATCATAGACTCCAGGGGAGTATCGAACTAACGTCATGCTTGGTTCAGTCTAACAGATGGAGAGACAGACCCCCATAAGGTACCAAATGAAAGGTACAGTTGGTAAGGTCTAAAACAGTGAACGCAGACCGAAGACGATACCAAATGAAAGGTACATCTTGCAAGGTCATAATAGTGAAGACAGACCGCTGACAATACCAAATGAAAGGTACATCTCGCAAGGTCAAAACAAAGACTACAGACCGCAGACAGTATCACATGAAAGATACATCTAGCAAGGTCAAACAGTGTGACTCTGAAACAGGTGACATCAGCATACAGTGTAAATCGCTGACGAAATACCGTTACCTTAAAGCCATGAATTATAAGGCAACCCAGGATTCTCGTAACCATACTGACTAGAGTTCTAGACGCCCTACAAGCATCTATATAATGTGACATTTGTCACCCTTTGGCTTGGTAGGCCGTGGACTGTAGCTAGCAGTCAGGGTGCGGGGTTGTCAATCCCGTATAGTCCTATACACACAATGTCTACTCTCCCTATAGGAGACTCTAGTTACCAATTAGACGACGGAAAAGGCCGCGTCCCGAAGATGCATCCCAAATAGAGGATAGTGTTTTACTAGGAGGGAGTGGGTTTCTAATGTAAGTGTAGACTAGAGGTAGAGACTCTTAACATAACTGACTGGAGAATTTCCTGTATGTCCATACTCATATACATAGTATATAACTAATGAACCAAATGACTTTCGGACGGCCACCCGATCCCACCAGACCACATCTCAACGAAGAAAAGGAAATAGGGTGGACAAGCCTTCCTAAGTCCTTCAATCATTATTTATATGCATCTATACAAGCATAAACATATACCTAACTACGCTTGAGTGTGTATCAAGTGGTATCATTCGGTGAAGTATAAGTGTACAGTGGAACATCCGAGTCGTGAAGTATAAGTGTACAAAGGAACATCCGAGTCGTGAAGTATAAGTGTACAGTGTGGGATAATCGAATCGTGAAGTATAAGTGCACCAAGTATAAGGGTATCACGAAGCAGAGACGACAATAAGTAAAGTAAGAACATCTATCAAGTATAAGTGGAGTAAAGTCGTTATCAAGA